GAGAGCATCGGGTCCAGTGTCTTACATTGTTACCATTGGATCAGGTCAAACTATGAAGCGGCACGTGGATCAGGTGAGAGCAAGAGTGGCCCAGTACAGTGACACTGTGCCCAGTACAGTGGACAGGGAGGTGGAGCCATTGCAGGACCAAGAAGCAGTGCCTGAGTGCTTTTGTCCAGCCGGGACATCGCCACAACCTATGGCATCGGAGTTGCCTGATGCTCCGGAGACTCCGGCTCCTGGAGACCCCTCCGTGTCACCCGTGTTGCGACGTTCTCAGCGAGAGAGACGTCCACCAGAGACTTTAAAGGACTTTGTTAGATAGTGTGAGATCTTCCAGGAATAGAGCAACACAGTGTTCTGATAGAAGTGAATATATGTTAGGTTGGATGGTTACCATGATTACGTGTTGCTTGTTTGTTAAGCATTCTTTAGATAAATCATTATTTTGTAGATCACGGTGGAGTTGGACTTAAAGGGGGAGGAGATGTGGTATCGTGAGGAATTAGTTGTTCATATAAATATCTGAGTATGCATAATAGTTCTTATTCACAGATGCCTACATATCAGGTTCCTGTTATTCATCTCCAAGAAATAGAAGAGGTGTTGTTACAATGGTAAGGCCAGGAGAGGCAGTAGAGGCTCTGTGTTACATGATGTTGGAAGAACAGTAGAAGAAGAGTGTGTCCGGGAGTAGTAAGTAACAAATGGATGCTGATGTTCTGTACATGTTCTGAATAGCCGGTTCAGTAAACAAGTTTCAACGACACTCCGGAGTAAGGCTAAGTTATTTTATTTTTTGAAGATGCAACAGTGCGCTACGCGCCGGCTGCACCAGTGCAGTGGTCACCAAGGGTAAAACGGGTGACGTGCTCGCTCCGCATCAGCGAAACGCATCAGACACAAATAAAAGACAGAAATCATTAAAGTATATGAGCTGACAGAAACGATCGTGTGTTAAAGTTCTTTTATAGATTCACTTTAAGAATGTTACTGTGGCCGTGCTCAGGACGCATCTGTCTGCAGCGCATCAACGATCAGAGCTCTGCACCTCTCAGCTCAAAATAATCCCCAGAGAGTCCACATAGATAATGTAATATAAGTTGAACCAGGATCGCTTTCGGGCTCCCCTGGGTGCGTAAACTGAGGGCTTGCAGAGGAGCGTCATCCTATGGGCTGAGCCGGGATCCCTTTAGCTCACCCGTAATTCGAACCCTGCGTATAGCACAAGTTGATCGCGTGAGTTGCCGGATCCTAGCAGACAGTTGCCGGAACGGTCCTTTCAAAATAAGACAGTTCCCGGATCTTGTTTCGGCAAGATCCGGCTCAAATTAAGCCCTGGCTAGAACCAGAGTGAACATTGGGGCAGCCTAGCTTGAAGGAGCTTAAGGGCGCTACATAATCACAGACTGATGGTGACCTGGCTTTGTTGCTACTAGACTTGTATGTAATAATGATTATGATCTTTTTACTTCGTGATTTATTTTTGTATTAAATGGCTCATGTTAGGATTAGCTCGTTGTTAGCGCTAGCTATAGCAAGCTGCTGCAGGGTTGCTTGTAATTCCACTTTCAACCAGTAGGGCGGCAGAGCAGAAAACTGCTCTGTGTTACTTTGAAACAACAATAATGTAAAAAATAACCCTTTGATGCATGAATTATGAAATCTCCAACCATGATTTTTGTAACATTTTTTTCATTCATCTTTAGGTGTGAATAAAACAAATTTCAACAAATATTTTTAGTAAATTTTTATAATTTACTAATAATTTATTACTTGTCCACCTCAGTGGACAGCGTGCATTCTGAACATGAAATATGTTGGCTTGAGTTACTGAAATCCAAATGGAGGGGCTCAAATGCAATAAAGTCTTCAACAGCTGTGCTTAATAGCAAAAATAAATAAATTCTAATTTTGAATACCTGTCCACTGTAGTGACCATTATGCATCAAAGGGTTAAAATGATATAAATGTGAGATATAAGGGTTCATCTCTGTTTTGAATACCAAGAATTTGGAGAATATTGCATCTTTTTAAAATTCAAGTTTACTGAATGCTGCAGTAAAGTTAATGGACCCGGTGCTCTACCAAGCGGTTAACCTGCTAGTCAGAGTTACTAGTCCTTAGATTTTTATATTTCAACACTGAAACGTTTTGAATTATAATTTTGCATGACTAATCCGTCTAAAAAAAATTCAAAACCAATCACTCAGCTGAAGAGACAGAAGTTAACAAGCTGCATCAGATAAAAAATCTAAATGTTTTCTTCTGCAGCCTGAAGGTAAAAACCTGCAGGGCTTTAGCTTCTTTATTAATTAAAAAACTTATTGTCCTCTTAGTCTCCTCATTCTCTTGTTTTTGTTTCCAAATAAATACTTAAAGACAAAAGTAAGAGAAATAAAATGTTTAATTATCTTCAATCACACGTAACTTAAATAAGATGCCTGGACTGGCTTCACGTAGTTAAAACTTCCCTAAAAGCGGAGGATCTGCTGGAACCGAGTTCAAATGTCTGACACAAAACAGATCTCATGGATTGATGTGTTCTTGAGCAGGAAGTTGGGATTAATTCCTGAGACATTGTTTCCTCTGAGAAAGTTGAATCACAATCGATGGTTTTCAATAAGCCTCCAACATGGAAGGTGAGGTTGTTGTTCACCTCAAACACGATCCATGATTCAGCAACGTCAATCAATAGCAGCTTCATGTCGCTGGATGACTGCAGCAATGCTAAAGATGCTTCATTTAGTCAGAAAACTTGTCCTGAAGGACCCGTTTGTAGAGTCAAAACTCGTAATCTAACAGGCGTGGAGAAGAGGACAGCGGCAGAACACAAACAGGAGATGCTTTGTTAAAATAAAGCAAAGGTACTTTTTCCTGTGATGCAGACACATTTCAAGTGTTTAATTACAATAGACAGAGAAGAATCACACTGAGGGTCGCAAATGGCCAGCAGGCTGCACCTTGGGAACCCATTTAAGGTGATTATCAGTTTATATTTGGAAAGAAATATTTTCAACCAGGCGAGTGAATATAAACAGACTCGGGTATTTGTCCAAATATTCAACATAAACACAAAGTTGTAGTTGAATTTGCTGATCCAAACTCCCGGAGATATCCAATAGAGTAGTAGGTTTTAAGTGTGTGTGTGTGTGTGTGTGTGTGTGTGTGTGTGTGTGTGTATGTTTGGGGGCAGTTACCATCATTCCAAAGCCCAATAGGGAGCCTAGGTCACTCCCACATACTTCCGGACCACAGGTCCCTGGAAGAATGAAAAAATGAACGCAAGACAACGGGGCTAAAAACGCTATTTTCTAATTCCGCTTGTTTTGTACCATGGATTTCACGCATGATGTCTGTGAATTTTAAAGAAGCATTTTGATACCAAGAATGCACTTATTTTCTAACAGGGGGAAATGCTATTTTAGGTTTTGTGTGAAAATAAGTCCAGGACTACAAATGTGCTTCACGAAAGTGACGTCATCAAAACCAGACACAGAGAAAACTGAGGGAAAAGGGCTGTAGGTTCAGCGAACTTCCCACAGGAGGAAAGAACCACCATAAATCTGGTCATAAGTAGCAGCTACACTAGAGGGCAGGAGATTGCATGGTGACGCCACATATGCGACGTGCTGATTTCTGGTGTGTAGTCATGCTGATTACGAACTTTTACAAGCTGATAAATCTCAAAGTACGTGACTGGCGTGGTCAAAACACCCATCATTAGTTTTCATTAAATTGCAGTACAACATATGTGTGATCCAGGGCGTAAGGCAAAGCGGCATAGAAAATAGCATTTTTAGCCCCATTGACTTGCATTAATTTTTCGTTGTTCCAGGCACCCGCGATGTGGAAGAGACTTAGGCTCCCTATACCCACACTTCAGCCTGCCCTGATCGAAGAGCACTTGGTGGAAGTGCGAGAATGGGGACTGGGCCTAAATCTGCAGCTGCTTCAGCCACAGCTGTCACAGGCCATCGATCCCCACATCCTCTGAAAGTTTCCTCCCGTTTTTCCCGACTAAACAAGAATCGATTGTTATTGAGAGATAGGTTCCTGCTTCATGAAGGCATAGCTCTGTGATTCCTGTCAGTTTCTGGGGCTTTTCAGAAACCTCATGAATGTTTTTTAGCATTTTGCTACCAACAGCTCCAGCTCAGAGAGACAGCGCAAGGAAATGACTAAAACAAGAAACCAAAGAGGGTCTGAATCTAAAAGGTTTTCATCAGATTGAGTTTTTTTTCTTCTAATAGGCTGAAAACCACACAATAAACTCCCAGACTTCCTACAAAAATTGGATTGTTTTTCCATTTTGCACTTTCAGTGCAGCGTTTGCTCATAACAGGTTGCATCATTACTAACACTGAAAGCCCACATCCTCTGCTGCAGGTTTTTATTGATTCATTGATTCAACTCTACTGGTTCAAATCATCCTCTGCAGAAGCCTGTTAATTACTGGCTCGTCTAAATAATCTAAACATGCAGGACAGTTGGTCCTTATTTGGGCAACAAAAGAAAACAGTTTGCCAGAAGCTAATTCATAATGCATCCACTTTTTAATGGGGAGCAAATTCTCCAGAGGAGTGAGTTGATTAAATCTAACAGAATGAGTTTTTGCATGCAAAATTTTCATTGCATGAATGTGCGAAGATGAAGGTTTAAACCTTCATTGCAGCACAGTATGAGTGAAATCAGCTGGAATGGTTTTAACCTGATGCAAATGCAGAGTCAGAAAAAATCAAATTAACATGTATATGATGGAAGAAGCACAAACTGACAGAATGCTGCACTTTTCATGTTAGTTTGACTGATTGAGGCATCGTTTTCATGACTTACACATGTCTGTCAAATTTGGTCTTCACTTCTGTCTGCAAACTGCGAAACGGTAAGCAAAGATAACACCTTAAGGTTGTGAAGCTCACGAGAAGCAGACAACACCACCAGACAGGTCTTTTCAGGTACCTGGATGTATACACTTCTACAAATATAAAGAATCTGACCTATGACTGCATCCTGAGCTGGACTCTTCACCGCTGATCCATTCTCACCATCAGCTCTTCGGTTCATCATCTGCATCTTTGATTTTTATAAAAAAACAAAAAACAAAAAGGACGACTCAGAATTTATACATCATGTGAACTCATTCATTGCCAATGACGACTAAAGTCACTGAAGTCGTCATTTGCATTTTTTTTTACTGTGTGGGCATCGGAACGAGCCCCTGCACCGTGAGAACAAACATCTCAGCTCTAATACCGATCTTCATCTGCATACGTCAAGTGATCAGGAAGCAGAAAATCCATGTGTTAGAAGATCGTTTTGGGCCGTTCCTGTAAAAAAAAAAGTGTGGCGCGAACAGGAAAAGCTTCTGCCGATCACAATTCAACAACGGATTATGAAAGAACGGATAACTCTTGAAACACATGGATTCTTCCTGATGTAAGAGGTGAGTCTCTGCTTTGTTTTGGTTGTTTTGGCGTCAACATCATCCTAGCGCACAATGTTCTGTCACTCTTAAATAAACAGTAAAAATGGTGAGAAACGCTGGCAGCGAAGGGCTTTACCGATCAGGAAATGGCTGGCAGCGAAAGAGTTGATGCATTTTTGGGAATTTCATGTAGAAACGAATCCCCGTGAGGCAGCAGTTCATAAATTAAACTTTGAACACCTCTGTTCTGTTGGATTGGTTTGGTTCTAGGATGGAATATCTGTAGATTGAGACTCCTTTGCCTTGGAATAAAACCCAGCTGTGATCTACACAACCTGACAGGATTACATAACATCTGGAGAATCTCCTTCAGCTGGCATCTGGGTGGTCCACCCCTAGAAGGCTGTGTTTGGTGCCTCTGAGATGCTGTCTTGCACCTCATCACATTCTATTGTTGCAGTTCGAGTCATGATGATCCCAGGGTGTTCAACCATGATCACCATGACCGTGACCAAGACCACACTCCGATCAGCATCATGCCAAGGCTTGCTTTCTACCATCCGACCAGCATGTGAGGAAGTTTAAACACCTTCTTAGATGTTCCAACGGCAGGAACGTTTAGGAAGGTGGGAAGAGAACTGCTCCTCAACAACCATCACTGACTGTTGTTTTCCTAATGTGTTATTGGTCAGACGTCTGACTTAGAAAAGTGAAAATGAAAAACATCGAGATTCCAACAAAAACATTATTCACCTTTGGGTCTCTGATGATGGTAGCATGTCCTTGTATCTCAGTCAAAGAAATTCCCGGGCAGGGCATTGAGATGCAAGCTCGTACCGCATCATGAGACTCTCTTCTTCCCGCAGAGCTAGAAGAAAAACAATTTGCCAACAAAACTGCACTCAGTGATATTGACTCAGGATGCTCTGGGTCATTCAGCTGATGAATGACTTTCCTGCCTATTGAAACAGTGATGGTCTTGATAAAACATGTCTGAAGACGTCTGAGGACTTAAAAAGTTTGAAACATCAAAGACTGTTGCGAAAAATGACTAAATCTACTTAACCAAGGAGCGAAGGCCACCGTTATGATTTCTGATTGTCTGCATTTCTTACCTGTCTTTTCCATCACTTTTTCTTCTGTCTCTCTTTTTGTCAGACTTTGTATTCTTTCCTCCCAGAAGGGACGTAATCTTTTGTTCTCGCTTTTCTTCTTTGACTTTTGGTGGCTCGGTCTTTCTGCTGCTCGGAGCAGGAAGATTCCTCTTGCGAAAACCAAACCAACTTGCAAGGCTTGAGCCAGACTTTTGCTTGACTTCAATAGTTCTCTCCTGCTCCTGTGACTTATGCAGGTTCTCCTCAATCCCAAGCATCACTTTCTCTTCAATAGTGGTAATGGTGCTCTGCCTTTCTGGTTCTTCAGAGACTGGCTCCCCGAAGGCACTTGAAAACTGTTGCTCGATCTGAAGTCGCCTAGCCTGCTCCCGCTGGAGTTTGAGACTTTGAAGTCTTTCATTGGAAGACCCCAACTGTGAAGGAGCTGTCAGCCCTTCTTCAATAAGAAAGTTGTTTAAAAGGGATCGATTCATTGGACAGTGGTAGCTGCTGGAGCAACTCATGCTTCCTGGAAGGACATCCCCGAGAGAATTCAAAGAGCTTCCAGAGTGTGTTTTGATCTGGGTACGGACCTTTCCAGATCTGTTGAAACTCGGTCTGTCCATGTAGCGAGCACCAAAGCTCTGGCTGCGAGCCTTGGCCCCATTCATGCCCAACACTGGTTTGAGAAGAGGTCTGGTAGACACAGACACAGACCGTTTAAACAGCCAGCCTTGCTCGTCAAATCCCCAATCTAACATCCCACCACTGTCTAAAGCAACAGGTTGAACAGGGTCAGAGTCCAGCGAGTTACAGCGGGTTTCAGTCTTTCTGTGAACTTTGTCATGAGCACCGCACTCGTGTATCACCTGGGGATCACACGTGAAAGTCTGGAAGGTCTGCAGACTTCTCCCATCGTCTTTGTTTTGCCTTCCAAAAATGAGGAAAGTACTTGTGTCCTGTCCACAGATCGCCTCATGTGATTTAGCATTTACAGGAAGTGTCCTTTTCACAGCGTGTGCGCCCGAAGTTTGTGGGTTATAGGATATCCCGTGGTAGTAAACATTAGGGAACGTAATTGGAAGGACTTCTGAAAGTTTTGGTTCACTAACACTTTGCTGAGATCGTTGCAGGATGCTCTGAGTTGATAATATAAATGGAGTTCCATTTTCATTACAGCATGTGGCATCTCTGTCTGCAGACAGCTGGATGGACTCTGTGGTTTCTTGAATAGGGACTGGTGGAAGCTTTGATGCACTGGTTTGGTAGATGTTTGCAGAGATTTCTTGTACTGGTTTACCATCCACACCTATTTGAAGGGATGCATGTTGGAGATTTCTCATCATGTTGGATGTACGACTCTCTAAAATTGAACAGAAATCCTTTGTCCTGGTTGCAGTTGAGACTGGCTTGCCTGTGGTCGAGCTTTGTCTCTGACCCATCAGTTTTTGATCTTTGGCTGCACTCTCAGAGCTGCTTCTAAGGAGGAGGGAAGTGGTTCGACCTGGGGGAAAAGGAGGAGAAAGGGACCTGTGCTCCATTTGAGAAACATCACAGTGATGGTCTTGGCGTCGCTGCTTTAGTGGCGAACAGGGTAGATTGTCATAGATGCTCTCTTCCCCCGAGCCATTGCTTGAGACTCGAGTGATTTGTAAGTCAGATTTAGTTGGACTCTTGATGCCTGGAGACTTAACAATCTTTGACTGTTTGACAGGGGACACAACAGGAGACAACTGCTGAATGTTCTCTAGAGACTTGGAGCTTGTTGATGCTGTCATGTCTCCATCTTTCTCAGGTTTTGATAGCATGCCCTTGCTTGAATCATGGATGTTATCTAGATTTATCCTTTTGCTTGGGACACTGTGCCCCAAAGGCTTTGGCTCTGACTGTACTTTGGGTCTTTGACCCTTAATGAGTTTTTGGTGCAGAGGAGAATGTGTATGCTTAAGTTGTTCCTGCCCTCCGTCTGCACTCTTGCTTCGAAGGATGAATGCCTTCCTTGCTGAGTCACAAAACTGAGGTTTTGGTTTCCTCTGAGGAGATTCTGAGGTGGCATCATCCCTGTATCCCTTTGCCTGATCTCGGCTGTGAGGAACCTCCATTGAGGAGCTGCGTTGTCTGGCTTCATTCATGCAACTCAGAGCTTTTGTTGCCGGATGCCTGATTGAGAAACTTTCATCGTTTTCTTCTGCTTCTGTTAGCTTTGTAGAAGGCCTCCCTTGTTGTCTTTTATTATAGTCAAGTCTAGATTTACGGTCAGTAGATCGTTCTTGGTTGTTGTTGCGATCACTGAAGTTTAAAATGGATGCTTTATGTTTTCCTAGAGAGTTCTTGTCCGTTTCTTCCAAACGTGTCAGGCTGTCAGTTGGGCTTACACCAGGCTTTAGTGTGGGACTTTCCAAGAACAAGAGGTTTTCTGAGTCTGGAGATGGAAAAAGACCAGAATCTGCTGAAATACTCACAGAGTCGACTTTAAAATTTTCATCATCATCCTTAGAAAAATCTAGTTTGTCCAAACTAAGATGATCCTTTGGTGTGTGATCACTGGATTCCCTTGTAGGTAGTTTAGATGATTCATCATATGGATCTTCAGAGTCTAAGGTGCCAATCCCTGCATCAGCCTTGAAAGCCTTACTTGTGGAGGCCACCTTCGCGACTGTGATCCCTTGTTGGCAGAGCTTGACTCCAGAAGAATATATGCCCTCGTTTGAGGTCATGCAGTCTTTGCAGTGTGACACGGATGCAATCGAGGATGAATCTTTGAACTTGTTCATCTGAAGGCGCTTTAGGCCTTTCAGAATATGTCCCTCCTTCCATCCCAGCTCTGTTTGCTCAGTGGAGGCTGAATGATTGCTAGATACTGAGCCAGTGCTCATCCTCTTGTCCCGACTTGTGGCACACTGCGCATAACAAGTCATGTATAATTAAATTAGTTTACACAAGAAAATGGAATTAGAACAAGAAAGACTCCTGACCTGCTTGGAGAAACCTCGGCCATCTGCCCAGGTATGAGACCCACTGGAGTACTCACTGCAGGCACTCGACAGTGAAAGCTCGCTGCCGCTTCCGCTGCTGCGTGGACATGTCAGGCTCAAAAGACTTGGCCATCGCCCAGCTGGAATTCCTGCTTTTCCGTTTCTTTGGACCTCCTGGAAAATAGCCAACATGAAATCCATAATCAGGAATCTGAAGAACACACTGAAGAAAGCCAAACTTAAATCAGGAAAGCCCTCATTGAAAGTTATATTTGAAGAAGAATTTACTATGAAATACATTTATAACACATATTTTCATCTTGGCTGACTTTTACTACAGTGAACTTGTTTGTTCTTAGTTTTAAAATATTATTTTATTCTCTGTGCAGTCGGAACCGTATACAGCCTATGAGAATGCCCTGCAGCTCTCTATTTGTCTCCAAAAATCAATAAGTTGTGTGTGAAGCGGTCTCTTTCCATCCAAATGCTAATGAAGTCTTGGTTTGATATTTCCAGTCCAGTAGTTAGATGTTTCCTGTTTAGAAAAGCAATGAGTTTCCATCCTGCGGGTCTGTGATCATGGCTGAAGTTTATGTCTTTCCTCTGACATTTAAGTCTGGCTGAGAGCTGAACTTCAGCTCTCTTTATTTGTTTACAGTTCATTTATATTTTAAATGTGAGCAAGTACTGGTCAGAAACAACAAATTTAGCTGAATTCAGCAGGTGTTCCTGGCTTTGCAGGGGACCTCCATGCCCTGGAGAGACCTTTTTATGCTGGTTCCAAAGTAATAATAAGATTACAAAGAGGGATTTGCATGGCATCCCTTTTAAACAACGTTAGAGCTCACAGCCAGGGTTTGAATTTACTCCAATACAAACTATTAGGACTTGTTGAGGCTTTGTGTTCTGATAAATGTTTTCTCCTGCAGAGGAAAATCTGAAATGATATGAAAGTTCTGTTAACCGGAACATTAAATTCAGGCTTCTCAAGTTCAAAAGCTTTAACAGATGTTTTAGTTTGTATAACAATAAATAAGTAAATGATAAAAAAAAGAAACATACATCTCTGTTTTTATTTAGCCAAAATATGTTTATTAATTTTAATTACATTGAACACTACAATTACAAAACAAACAACACAGATGCCCAACTGTATAATACTTCAGTACAACCTACCGCACATTGTCATCCTTTGTCTTTGCTATCCTTACATAATTAAATAACTTACTTAATATGCAATGCTGTAAGAAGAAAAAAAGAATCACAACTTTCCACCAAATAAGAACCGCAGTGCCTACACATCTCAATCACTGTCATTTGCCATACCAAAATCCTTGGCATAATCAATAAAAGGGTTCCAAATTTCCTCAAATAGTTCCTGTTTGCCTTGTAACACATATGTAATCCTTTCCATTGGTAGAGTGGACATCATCTGTATCATGAGCGCTAGTCGGTCGACATGTTTTCTTCCAAAACAAAGCTATGCATCTTTTGGCATTGAGCAAACCAAGATTTATAAATGTTCTTTTCGACGAGGACTTTACAAGAGCTGTGTTTAAGCAGCGTGTAAAATACAAGGAAGTGCGAAAAATACTCAATGAAAGGAAAATTAAGTCACGGATTCTGTTTCCAGCTAGACTAAAGATCTTCTGTGAGGACGGGAAAGTGCGACTTCATAATGATCCCCAGGCTGCTGCAATTGGATTAAGTGAATTTGGAGTAAAGATGAATATTCCAGAAGAAAGGGAAGATCTGGAATCAATAATGAGGAGCACAGGATGGAGGTTGAAGGAGAAGAATTCCAAGCCATGGACTGATGGAGTCAAGGTCTCTTGAGATGCACAAGAGATGAGGTACTTTTGGAAAAATAGCTTCGGTAAAATCAGCTGAAAAATTCTTGAAAAGATTTGAAGCTGCAAAATATAAAACATTTGACTATGAAACTAATATTGATCCAGATAGTAATCTACTAAATGCAATTAATGACAATTGTACATAATATACAAATGATCAGTTGAATGATTCTATTGATCTAGATAATTTTCACTTATCCATTTTAATTGTAGAAGTCTTTATGCAACCTTTGATAAGATGAATGATTACTTGAAAACATTTAAAAGCCACTTCCAAGTGATTGCTTTATCTGAAACATGGTTAAATGAAGAAAAGGGTATTGATTTTGTTACAGAAGGGTATGATTTGTATTATAAAAATAGAATTAAGAAAAAAGGTGGAGGGGTTGCATTGTATGGTAAATGTTCCTTGAATTGTAAAATAGTAGAGTGTATGTCAGTAGCCTTGGAAGATGGGATGGAATGTGTAGCTGTTGAAATCGAGACAGAAAAAACAAGAAATATTATAGTAGCTTGTGTTTATAGAACACCAGGTTCTAAAACTGAATGTTTTAGAGAAAGGTGTGAAAATCTTATAGATGGATTAAATGACAAGAAAACCTGGTTAATATGTGGAGATTTCAGTATTGATTTACTTAACCAAGAAAACCACAAAACCACTACAGATTTTGTAGATGCAGTGTCCAGTAGGAGTTCATATCCTGTGATTACTAAGCCAACCAGAGTTACCAGTACCTGTACTACACTAATTGACAATATTTATACAAATGAAATACATAAGGCAGTTAATAGTGGTCTTTTAATAAGTGATTTAAGTGATCACCTACCAATATTCATAATACATCATAGTCAAATTAAAAAAATTACCAAAGAAGTTGAACAGATAAAGCATATTAGAATAAGGTCAGAGGAAGCAATAACAAAATTTTGTAATGACCTGTTAAAGGAAAACTGGAGGGGTTTATGTTAAGGATGTGAACATAGCATATGATACATTTTTAAAAACATATACAACCCTTTATGATAAGAATCGCCCACTGCTGACATGTAAAAAAAGAAAAATGTTGATGTAAAACCTTGGTTAACGAAGGTACTACTAAAATCCTGTAAGAAAAACATAAATTATATAGAGATTTTGTCAGACTTCGATCTAAAAGCACAGAAATGAAGTATAAGACTTATAAAAATAAATTGACAACAATAATCAGGCAAGCAAAAAAAATATTATTATCATTTAAGGTTGAAGGAAAGTAAAGGTGATATGAAAAGAACATGGAGAATCTTGAATAGCGTTGTAAGGCCTAGGTCTTTTCACACCAATTGTCCAGATTACTTTATTAAAGGAGATAACGTTCTGAGGGATAAAAGTGAGGTGGTGAATGAATTTAATTCATTTTACGTAAACATAGGGCCAAGTCTGGCCAAATTTATGGAAACAAAAGTTAAGGAAGATGTAAAAATACAAGGAGGGAGTAGAATTCTACAGTCTATATTTTTGGGAGATGTAAGTGAAAATGAAATATTGACAATAGTAAAGAAAAGTAAAAATAAAACATCTATTGATTGTCATGGGATTGACATGACTATAGTAATTCAGGGATTTGGTTCATTTCAAATCAAATTCAAATTCAAATTCAAAAAAACTTTAATCATCCCCGAGGGGCAATTGTTTCAGTACAGAAGAATTGGTACTGTGGTCATTCGCAACAAGAGTCGCACTACCGTTAATTAGATAAAAAGGGGATCACATGAGGATAAATTGGGGGAGGGAAAAAAAGGCATACCAGAGTTACTCCCGGCAGGGCGTAGCTTTACTATGCAAAAAAAAAAAAAAACGCCTCAAACATATAAGCACGAACATCAACAATTCACAACATGAGACACCGAGAGGAAGGCCGGGGGGGGGGGGGGGGGGGGGGGGGGGGGGGTCTGGGATCCTGTTTCCCCAGCGAGAGCAGCCCTATGGCGCTCAGCCATTGTAGCCACAGGTGGGAGGGAGATCTTGGGAGCAGCGCAGAGCACATTGACACCTGCAGGTTGATGACCTCGCCAGGCTGAAGTCCACCAATCCGAAGGTGTGTGTGTGTGTGTGGGGGGGGGGGGTTGACAGCATCTGTCTGCATTCCTTCGTGGGGGTTTGTTGTTGGCATTCACAAGGCTGCCATGGCGTCAGATTCGGATAACAAGACTTTGTTTGGGTCAGGCAGAGATAATTTTCCTCTCTGCCTTGAAGTCTGTAACTGATCATTCAAGTCCTTCAGTGAAGCCAATTCAGGTTTTAAACATCTCCACACCATCCAGTGACCCTCTCCGAGATGACATCCATTTTGCACACTAATACCTGTAACGCAGCTAGGACATTGTCCAGCTTATGATTCACCTCGAGTAACGTCCCAGTCTGTGAGGTCTCCACATGGACGGTGCTTTCCGTGGGTGCGGGTCGCCCTCTAATCGCTCCCGTCTTCCCAAATTTCCAGAAAACCAGATATCCTCCCACTCCAGTCAGAAGAAATCCAGTGATCATCAGGCCAAATATCCACACATCTTCGACATCCTCAATGGACAGCTGAGAGAGGCATACGATCTTCCACTCCCTCCAGGAATCGAGCACATATCCCGCTGTGTGTCTCCCTTGCGGGCAAGTGGGAGCCCCCTCCTCCGTTCTCATCGTAGAAAAAATCTTGTCAATCGCATTGAATGACCAATTAATTAAATCCATTCTAAAAAAATAGGGTTTTTCAGAAGAAATGCAGAGAAGCGCTCTGTGGGCAGACAGGACAAAGAGCCTTGGGAAAAAAAGATAACTCTGCGAGTGTCGGAAGAAGAAGGACTTGAAAACTTTACTAATTATGTTCAGGGCAAAAAAGAGGTTACTGCCAGTGAAGTTACAGAAGTTTTTTGTTTTGATTTCAAATGATGGAAAAAATAGAAAGAAGCCTGAGTTTTAAAGAGTTTTTGCACGAACAAATTACAGCAAATGTGTATTTCAGTATATGGAGTAAAATTATGGAATCATCTGGATCATGACCTGAAAAAATGTTTAACTACAGATCAATTTAAGAGACTATATAAAGAAAAAATCATGGAATCGTATGATTGATAAGTAAATATTGAATAAGTATATTGATAAGTTTTATTGTGATTTTGTTTACAAAGATAAGGAAGTTCTATACTTGGTTTGTGTATAAGGCCATTCTGTAAATTATATTGTATGAAGTAGAAAGGGGTAGGTCATATAAGACTTCTTCTTCCTCCCCCTTTTTTCAGTTAGGAGACTGTTGATGATTGTATTTTGCATGAATGATGAATGAAACTGCTGAG